TATCGCCACTACTGCCACCAGTGAACAATTGCTTCACCTTCTCAAAGCCACCCAATTTTTTGGATCGCTTTAGGGTTGAGGTACTCGTTTTCTCTTGATCCAGCAGATTTGTTTGTGACTGTTGATCGCGTCGTTTTAAGGTGGCACTACTCTGTGGATATTTATCCAAGTGGGGATCGAAATGGGAGCCATCATCAATCGAACGCTCACGATAGACATAATTTTCGGAACGTCTTGGCTGACGTTCATGTTCGCAGTAGCGACGTTCTTTTTTCAGGAAACTTTCACAGGATTGGATGCTTTCATCGGGGGTGGGTTTGCGCCATCTATGAAAGGGGTGAAAGGAGAGAAAGGAGAGAAAGGAGAGAAAAAACTTTCCATTATACAAAAATTTCAGACGACGATTTTTTCTTTAGAAAACCGAGTTTATCCGAATTTTTTCTATAGAAAGAACCTCCGAACTGAGGTTCTCCGAATTTTTTCTATGGAAAGAACCACCGAATCCAGGTTCTCCGAATTTTTTCTATAGAAAGAACCTCCGAACCGAGGTTCTCCGATTTTTTCTATAGAAAAATTACCGAACTGAGGTTCTCCGATTTTTTTCTATAGAAAAAAATCAGCAATCTGAAGTTCTCCGAATTTGTTCTATAGAAAAAACCTTCGAACCGAGGTTCTCCGAATTTTTTCTATAGAAAAAACCTCCGAACCGAGGTTCTCCGAATTTTTTCTATAGAAAAAACCTCCGAACCGAGGTTCTCCGAATTTTGTCTATAGTAAAAACTTCTGAACCGAGGTTCTCCGAACCAAGGGTCTTCGATGTTTTTTCTATAAAAAATTTCCTAACCGAGGTTTCAATATTTTCATCCGCATAATTGTTCCCCATATTCCTTACCTTGTCACCAAATCTCCATTAAAGGACTCCTTGCGGAAATCATTTTCAATACCCGAATCCCCTTTGTCGAAGCTCCTTTGCTGCAACTTATCCCGCTTCAAGCTGCTGTGCCAACGATCCTCACTACTCAGCCGACCAGTATTTACGCCCCTATCCGAATTTAAATCATAACGTTTCATATTTTCCGGTGACGAACGATATTGATCGGTTGTTGTAAATTGTGAATCGAATGACTTCGGTTCATAATCCGTGATGAGCTGACGTTCCATTAGAGGTGAACTATCTCGGGTGGTCTTGGTGTGTGTAAAAGAATCCAAACGTTCACGATGTCGGGTCTCCAGCAACGACGGAGAACTATCCCGGCCATTTTTCGTATACGAATCTAAACGTTCCCGGTGGTGCCTGGGTTCCATTAGGGGTGATGATTCTCGTATAACTTTTCCTGTATAGGAATCCAAACGTTCCCGATGACGTGTTTCCCTTACATGAGGCTTACCATCCGGATCGAATTGAGTCTCCCGCTCATAGACCTCCTTCACCCCACCATGACCATCATCATAGTATTTGGTATGTTTGTAACGTGATGTCTTCTCCATGGTGGTGGCCGTGGTGGGAGCCGCTGTTGAGGGTGAAATTATATCCAGGTGACTTCTTTCGGGAGAATATTTATTGAGAATTTCTTTAACTTCAGGTTTGTGATATCTCATTGGTTCATGGGAATCACGTGGGATTTCCCTCTCCGGACTTAGATAACGTTTGGTGTGGTAATCACGATCGCGTTCGTCGAGTACTCTCTCATGAGAATTTTCCCGGGAGTACCCATTACGTTCCAGGGTTCCCGAATCCCTAAATCTCCGAGTAAGAATACGCGATTCCAGCCGAGCTCGCCGATAACCCATATCATCATTGGGATTTACATCTCGGTTGGGTGTGTGATATCGATCCGTAGCGTGATAACCATTCTCCCTGGGCGGGGTTATGCTGCGTATTTTCGGAACAATTGGTGGTTCTGCTGGCGACTTACAACGTTTGGTTTGCGTTAGATCTTCATCGTAGTATTTACGGGTCTCCAAACCCAAACCTTCATCCTCATCACTTAGATTGCGTGGTGACAACATTTGCCAGGGTGAAGGGGAAAATGAACCCCCAATGTGGATCGTGGTGGTACCATTATTGGTATTATAACTTGGCGAGTAATTGTTACGTTGACTAGTTCCAATGAAATCGGTTTGATCCTCCGATTTGTTAAGGCTGCTGCGATTTACCACAGTGGTGCTGACCAATTCACGATCGGGGGTGAAAATATCCCGCGATGGCGAACGCATTTCACGTACCGGAGAACGATATTCTCTTACGGGAGATCGGGTGTATTCTCGTCTTGGCAATGTACTGCGTGATTGTGGTTCATCCTGCAGTTCCAATTGGGCATAGGTTATACCCTCATTGGGGCGAATATAAGAAAATGCTGGACCCGTAATGGTGGGGGGTGGTGAAAATCTTTCCATCGATAGACGTTTTACCATCCCGTTTACCGTATGACCTTTGGTCAGCGGCAATTTTTGGGCCGGCAACTGGGAGCTATGCATGTTTTCTTGTGACTTGGCCTGTAGGCTTAGAATTTTCTCTTTAATTACGTCTGATACGGGTATACGTCCAACCAGACCTCCACCGTCTACTTCAGCCTGGGAATGACTGCGTCCTAACAGCTCGTTAATGGCACTTTCATGTTTTTCCTTATCGGTAATGGCTTCCGATTTACGGCGTTCTCGAGTGTGCTTGGTGAAATCTTCTTCGAAATAATCCTCCTTGGAATCGTTTTCTATAATCGGACTCAATTGGGTGGGTAAATGTTTATTGGACCCTGCAGATAAGGCGGATTTGGGTTCTTTTAACACCTTTTTTAATTTATATGACGAAGAACCCACATCACTTTTACTGCGTACCAAACGTCGACCACCACTATCTTCAAAGCGTGGATCCCTCTCCCCTTGATTGATGTTCGTATCACTTTTACGACTAAACAAACTGAAGATGGAGGGTCTCTTGGGCGGTTTCTTACCAGCTGCGTCACTGTTACTTCGACTAACCGGTTTGCTGGGTGGTTTTTTCTTTCGTGACGGCAAGGAATGGAATTTTTTCGGATTCGCGCTGGATGAATCTCCTCCAGAACGTTTTGTCTTTACCCGAAAAGTTGGGATATTATCACCATTCTCGGCAATACTTTTATGGCGCTTCGCTTGGGCTAATACTAGGGCAGCCTCTTTTTGTATATTTTCGGCAGATAAATCGGCAGGCAGCTGATGATATGCGGGTGCGATATACTGTTGTTGATGTTGGGGCGGTAGAAGATTTGTAGTTTCGAAATTCGTTAAATCGTTGGAACGTTTTCCTGGAAAGAGAGGAAGGGAGAGAAAATTATTAAATATCTGTATTAACTGATGATTCGTAAAAGATACTCAGATATGTCTCTAAGTGAAAGAGAGATAGAGGGAGAGAGATAGAGAGAGATTATTCTATTATAATAGGTTTCCAAACAAGAATGCTTTGAAATTTGCACATACATTGCCACGATATTTGGTATCGCAAATGTCATATATTAATCCATGATTTCGTATAGCTCCCTTATAACAAAATTGTTAGAGTCCTGCAGAAAATCAAAGACTGATATGTTTAAATAAAATTTTTAGACCCTCAAAGGACTGTAGTTTTAAATAATATTTTCAGGGATCTTCAGAGCTTCAAAAGCGAAGATTTTTTTTAAGAAAATTTGCATAGACCTGCGTGTATTTTTCAAAAATATTTTCTAAGATCAGAGGTGACTTAAGGTCGTGTATTTTAAAAAAATATTTTCGGAGTCCTGCATAGCCTCAAAGGCGTGGATTTTGAAATAATATTTTCAGAGCCCCGCAGAGCCTCAAAGGCGTGGAGTTTTAAACAATATTTTACAGTCCTGCAGAGACTCAAAGATGTGGATTAAAAAAAAGTATTTTCAGAGCCCTGCAGAGATCTAGGGAACCTCAAAGGAGTGGAGTTTTAAAAACTATTTCCGGCATATGCAGAGCCTTAAAGGCGTGGAGTTTAAAAGCATATTTTCAGAGACCTACAAAGCCTCAAAGGCGTGGATTTTTAAATAATATTCTCAGAACCCTGCAGAGTCTCAAATGCGTGGATTTTTAAACAATGTTCTAGAGCCCTGCAGAGTCTCAAATGCGTGGATTTTTAAACAATGTTCTAGAGCCCTGCAGAGACTTAAAGAGGTGGTGTTTCATGAATAGTTTCAGTTCCTAGTAGTTCAGGGATCTACAGGCTTAAAAATAAATAATAATAAAATTTGCATAGACCTGTGGAGTTTTAGGGGCGTAGATTTTGAAATAATATTTTCAAAGCCCAGCAGAGCTTCAAAGGCGTGGAGTTTTAAACAATATTTTACAGTCCTGCAGAGACTCAAAGGTGTGGATTTAAAAAAAATATATTTTCAGAGCCCTGCAAAGCTTCAAAAGCGTGGGATCTAGGGAACCTCAAAGGATTGGAGTTTTAAAAACTATTTCCGGCCTATGCAGAGCTTTAAAGGCGTGGAGTTTTAAAGAATATTTTCAGGGATCTACAAAGCCTCAAAGGCGTGGATTTTTAAATAATATTCTCAGAACCCTGCAGAGTCTCAAAGGCGTGGATTTTTAAACAATATTCTCAGAACCCTGCAGAGTCTCAAAGGCGTGGATTTTTAAACAATATTCTCAGAACCCTGCAGAGTCTCAAAAGCGTGGATTTTTAAACAATATTCTCAGAACCCTGCAGAGTCTCAAAAGCGTGGATTTTTAAACAATGTTCTAGACTAATACTTTGGGTTGAAAAAATGTTTAGTCCAGTGGTGGCTGTATAGGGTATCACAAGGTCTACCCCGTCTGACTATACTTGTTTTAATAATTATTTATTAATGTCGTATTTTTTTCCATTCTTTTTCAATCCATTGTTGATATTTAGCATTTTCCCACCCATGCGGATTTTGGCATTTATTTCTTTCCAAAAAAAAAAACTGCAATATTGATAAATTATCATTTAACTGAGATCATAAATAATCATGTTCTATCATGTTATTGTTTGGTAATATGAAAATCATTTATCTGTTTTGTCATTTCATGTGTGTTATTCCAACATTTTGTTGTTTGCACATGATGCAGGTTTGTTGCTTAAGTCTTTTGTTATGGGAAACGACAATATTTCATAGCAAATGTTTGTTGTTAAATATTTTTTGTGCTTCTCGCATACATTCAGATACAAAAAAGTGAAGAAATAAATATGTGTAATTTAAAATATCCAAATTTCAGATATTAAAAAAAGTAAAAAACGTGCATATGACCCAAGTTTGTTTCATAAGTCTTTTATCAAAACACGAATATCCTTGTTACCATTTCTTTTTACGAAATCGCAAAATAAATATATGAATGTGTGTATGTAATTTCCATCTTTAAAAATTTTTACTTATAACATTGGAAATATACAAATATATGTGAGAACATAATGTATTCCTTCATCCTTGGGTTTTGAAGGTAACTCATAAAACAAGTGGAAGGATCAAAGTGCGGTAGAATCTTAATTTTATCTTGATAATAGCAATTATTCCCATTTCCTAGTAAAGAATTTAAATTAAAACCCTCTATGCTGTATTTACAAAATTCCTAGCCGTTATTCTTTTTTTTTTTTTGAATACACCACTCACTCAAAGAACACAATTGCATTTAGGACCCCCTATACTAATTCATGGTTGTAGGCTCGAAAATAATTGCTGTAGATTAAATATACGTATACCCTTTTCCATGGAAAAAAAGAACACCTTTCCATGGAAATCGCTATTTTCTGATATATTTTTAACAAAAATTCCTTGCCGTTATTCTTTTGTCTTCATCAACTTCTTAGGAATTTATGCCTTCTCTACTTATGCCATCATCAACAGCATCATCATCATCTTTTGATGTATTAATAATATTTCCACGTGTGAATTTGTTGTTAATAACAGATTAAGATATACTTTGTTGTTGTTGTTGTGCTTGAAGAAATCACCCAAAAGCCTTATGGGTGATTTCTTTCATTCATACAGCCTACATCTATCAACACCACTTGGTCAGCGGTTGGAGGCAAAGCCATCATCAGCAGCATCAGCATCATCATCTTTAGCTACATCTTTAGCTTCATCTTCGGCTTACACTAGTAATTTAAGACAAATGTTGATGATGTTGTGATGTTGCCATTTTTTTCTAAATATGAAATGTTTCATATTTTTTATCTAGGTTTGCCGTTTTTGCTGTTTTTTTTTTGTAGTTTAGTTTTTAGTGGTAAAGTGTTTTTGCTGTAGGGCATACTTAACAGAGTTTTCAACAGTTGCTTGGCTTTCAAAATATAACAGCGGCAACAGCAACAATAAAAATATAAAAACAACCGCTTAAATCAATTTAATGACAGTTATTAGACTAGGCTTTTAAGAATCAAAGCAATTCCATTACATTGAAGGGGGTATTTTAATGCGGGGTATTTCCCTCCCTCTCGCTCTCTCATCATTGGGGTTATTTGGGAGAGTTATTGTATCAAACATTTATAAACTAAAATACAAGGCCCATAAACGGCTGAAGATAGAATCTTGAGTGAGGGTCACTCATAGTCCAAAGGGGTTAGTTAATGCTGGAAATTCGTACTAAAACGGTACGAAAAGAACTAAATCTGGAACTAGAACTCTTAAATTTGTAGGAGGCCCAGGAAAAAAATGTTCTTAAACAAATCCATGCCATAATGAAAGGGAATTATGGTTTAGATGTAGGGTCGATATAAGGAGGTGGTTTTGGCAGTGTGTACTTCTCTATACGAAAAGTACGAAACTGAACTAAATTTGGTAATATTTGAATTTGGAGGAACGGCTGGAGCTGGATGGACAGATAAATGGAATCCGGAACTTTGGATTACTGTTGGGGTGTAGGAAGTTTTGGAAATTTCTACTAATGTGTACTAAGTGTTACTAAATTTGGTACAAAATTGAATTTGGGTAAACCGATAGCGCTGGAACCCTGAATTTTTAAAATAAGATTATTGTTGAAGTGTAGGATTGGGGGTATGGATGTAGTTGTGGAAATTTGTACTTATGGGTACTAGATGGTACTATATTTGATACGATTTGGATTTAGAACTGGAATAATAAAATTTTGAAATTAAATGTACTATTGGAGTGTTGAATTGAGGTATGTATACAGATTTTGAAATTCGTACTTATACGTACTAAATGGTACTAATGTTGGTATAATTCGAATTTTTGGAGAACTGATAGGCTGATAATGGAAACGTATTAAGATAGCGGTATGTGGGAAGTTTTGGAAATACGTACTTATGATTGTTATGGTAGGTAGTTATGGAAATTTATATTAATGTGTACTAACTGGTACTAAATTTGGATTTGAGTGAACCTATATCTAAAAAAGAGCAAAGGTACTAAACTGTACTAAAATTGGTTATGGTTTTTAAAAACCCACATTTGCTAACGAAGTAGTGGACATATGCTAATATAAATGTTAATTATTAAGGAAAGGACCAAAATCGAACGAGACAGATTCTTGGCGAATAAAATAACTCTTTGGCACACCTTACTGAATTAAGCCTAGAATAATGTGTTGTGGAAATCGGTTTAGATTTAAATATAGCTCCTATATATATTTTCGTCCGATTTAATGTAAAAGGTGCAGCAAAGTCCCTATATATCATTCGATTTGTACGAAATTTGGCATAGCGTACTGAATTGAGCCTAGAGTGTGTATGTCAAATTTCGAGAAAATCTGTCCAGATTTGGATACAGCTCCCATATACAGTTTCGTCCGATTTCATGTAAATGGTGCACCAAAGTCCTATATATCTTTCGATTTGCACGAAATTTGGCATAACGTACTGAATTGAGCCTAGAGTGATGTCTGCCAATTTTCGTGAAAATCGGTCCAGATTCAGATATAGCTTCCATATATATTTTCGTCCGATTTAAAGTAAATGGTGCACCAAAGTCCACATATATCTTTCAATTTGCACGAAATTTGGTTTAGCGTCTGAATTTAGTCCAAAATGATGTGTGCCAAGTTTCGTGAAAATCGGTTGAGATTTAGATATAGCTCCCTTATATTATAGATTGATTTTAAGCAATTGACGCACCAAGGAACCAATATATGGCTGATAGGAACAAAACGCACTGAAATTAGTATAACCTAACCTGTGACAAGTTTAGTTGAAATCGGTAAATATTTGGATATAGCTTCCATATATATTTTCGCCCTATTTAAAGTAAATTGGGCATCAAACTCCTCATTTTTGTCAGATTGACATCATAGAGCATAGAATTATGTAGTTGCGTTTTCTAGAAGTACA